AAGTCCACTAGTGGGTATTGCACATTTGTGGGAGGAAATCTGGTGACCTGGAAGAGCAAGAAGCAAAGTGTGGTAGCACGGTCAAGTGTTGAAGCTGAATATAGGGCTATGGTACATGGGGTGGCTGAAGTCCTTTGGCTAAAGAACCTTCAAGGGGAGCTTGGAGTTGTGGTTCATAGTCCTATGTCCCTTTATTGTAACAACAAGGCTGCAATAAACATTGCCAGCAACCTAGTCTTACATGAGAGGACCAAGCATATTGAGGTGGATAAACACTTCATAAGGGAGAAACTGGGAAAAAGGGAAATTTGCATCCCTTGTGTCAACTCTAAGGAACAACTTGCTGATGTCTTTATAAAGGGGCTTCCGTGCTCGCGGCACAATGAGTTATGTGACAAGTTGGGCATGATAGACATCTTCAGCCCAACTTGAGGGGAGTGTTGTAAGGCTTTACTTAATTGTTACTTTATGGCTGATGTTAGTAGGCTGTTGGACAGTTACAGTTACTTGTTTTTTTTCTCTTCTTTCTTTTTTCTTATTATTCTGATTCTAGGATATGCCACCAGGGGCATACTTGTAATTTCTGATTCTTTTATGAAATTAATATAAATAGAAAACTGGCAGCAGCTAGTAGCGGCTTTTTTCCTCTCAACCGAACCTCTGTCTTCCTCTCTCTCTCTCTCCCCCCCCTCCCAATCCCCACGAATCACCACATTCTGTTTTTAGGGAGCTAGGATATTTTATCTCCCCTCTTGTATCCATAATCCCTCTTTTCTTTTAAATTTAATAACGTTGTTATTGATCAAAAAAAAAAAAAAGACGCCAATAGATCGAGGATCTTCATCCAGTTTCACTCCAGCAATTTCCACCACTGTGTAGTAGAGATTTGAGATGTTACAGGATATGAACATCCCTTCTATTGCCGTTACTACCTTCTCTAGCACAACTTTCTTCCGAAGATTAAAAGGGTGCCCAAACAATTTCATAGAAGGTAAGGGCTGTTCATAAGAAGGCCCAACCCGACCAAATTGACCAACTGAGACTGACCCAACCCGAGTTGGTCGGGTTTTCTTCACAACTGGTTGGTTTCAGGTTGTAAAACATGATAAACTGATGTTTATGCACTGCAAAAACATTATATCAACTTGTATGCATTGCACAAAGTATTGTGAACAACTAAACAAAGTATACAATAACATGCTTCTTTAGCTAAGTTGGTTCGGGTCGGGTCGGGTCGGTTTCGGTTTTCTGGTTTCACCAGAAAACAATAAGCATGTTATTGTATACTTTGTTTAGTTGTTCATAATACTTTGTGCAGTGCATACAAGTTGATATAATGTTTGAAATTCATGATTTCAATTTTTGTGGTGAAACTAATCTCTAATCCCAAACTGACAATCCAAACTTGCACCACATAGGCACATGGGGGGCATGGCTAAACTTAGAGCCGAAATCGACCCAAACCGACCCAACCTGACTCAAACCGACCAGGTTGGTTTTGCTTAACACTGGATCAGTTTCGGTTTCAATCTTAGGTAACCCGACCAGGTCGGGTCGGTTGGAAAAACCATAGTAAACCGACCCAATCCGACTCGTGAACAGCCCTAATAGAAGGCTTCATCATGAAAAACCTTGCTGTTACAGGCAACAGTCCATTTCTTCACTAGATTGACACCCAACTTAGTTTCTAACCTGTCAAAATCCACAGTTTTTTCTTCAACATACAAAATTGCCCGTCTTCTATCATAAGGGAATATCACGACTCCTTCCATTTGAAGTTTCTTTCTCAGTTTATCCAGAATAAATCCCCAGTCCATAAATTCCCTTCTTACAACCAAAATCATTTTTCTTTCCCACATTTCTCCATTTCCTTCCAATGTCAAGCTTTGCACTTTGTTAATGCAACTTGCACTTCATGTTGGGGATGCCCTTTGGTGTTTGGATTGTATTATAGTATAGTTGTCAAGGTGATGCCTAGGCGACAAGGTGCTCTTTGAGCTTGCCCTCGCCTAATCGCCAAACAGTTTTGTACTATGTATTATAAAATACTTTTTTATTCTTTATTTTTTGACATTATAATTATAAAATAGGCACTATTAAACTAAAATATTCATTTTGTGTTTATATACTGATTTCTTTTTTTTTTATTTTCCTATTTGTTAGGGTTTAATCAATATAAACATTGCTAAATGCTGTATTGAACCCCCAAAGAGAACCTGAACCAATAAAGCAATAAGTAAGGAAGAACTTAAAATTTTGTCTAATGAACACATTTTCTACTACTACATAATTTGCCTAGAGACACCGCATTTTGATATTCAACCTATGAAGAAGTGGTTGGAGCATACATTGCTTCAGTGGGATTGATATCGTCAAAACACATTCAAACACCCTGAACCACCCTTTCTATAGTAGAGGAGCCCTTTGTGAAGTTGATAATTCCCAAACAACACCAAGCCCTGAAATCTCCTGTTAAAAGACTGATCATGGCACAAAAAGGTCAGACCTTGCTGGGTAAATTGGTGAAATTTTCAAATTTAGTATAAGTCCAAGAAAAGGAGAACAATACCTGCTCTAGATGCCACAAATGTATCTCCCAAATTTTTTCAAATTGGTGAATTTCATAGAGAAAATTTTCTCTTAGGACTGATCTTGGATCATCAATCAAATTTGAATTGAGAATTAAGAAGGAATGTTACCTGATTTAGATGCCACAAATGCATCTTCCAAAGTGGTGATACATGTCCAAGAATCCAACCAAAATCAAGTTGCAAGCTGGAGAAGGCACAACTCAAATTGCATGAACTCAATCTAGTATGTGTGTGAATCAATGTGCACTTCAAATGTCTTATTGAATGCAGCTGTTGTTCACTTAAGATATTTGTGTTTTTGTTGGGAAAACACAAGAGGGAAGAGAGAGAAAAACTTCACCTTTCACCCTTGGTTGAATTAGGGTTTGGAGGTAGAAAACTTGATGAAAATTATTTCTCCCAATTCCCCTACACTCTATCATATATAGAGCTGTACTCCTCCAGTCCTAAAAGGTTTCCAAATTAGATTTCTATCTAAATTAGTTATTTTTGATTAGGAAATAACTCTTCATATTAAAGTCAAGAGAGAAAACAAACCTTTCCCAATTCAACCCAAAGTGTCAAACTATGCAATTTCCTAGTCAAACTAGGCATGCGGCTAGTCAAACTAGTATTGTTGGAATTACATCAATACTCTTGTCTTTAATTAACACCTTTGACTAGTCAATTCGACCTGATCCTTGTAGGTTTGGGGCTCACTAAGCTCTCACACTATACCATGTGGGCTTGGCCCATGAATTGAAACAAATGGGCCAAATTCACTAGTTAGGTCTAGTGAGCTGCCCACCCAATCTTGTTGGACTTGGAATTGGTCTAACATTTAAAGTGGTCTTTGGGTTTCAGCCATCCTATTAGCCCATACCCAATGGTTTAATTTGAGAAAAGTGCCCATCAGGTTTTGGCCCAAGAAGACACTTGCTCTCAATCTCTCAGTCAATAATACTAGTACACTGCATATGGAGAAGGACCTCCTCTCTGACTGGGAGTTGCAATGTCAAATCCTTTACTCAGATGGATCCTGAGATTAAATTGTTTTGAAAATTGATCTAAGAAACAAAATGAAATCCACTACCGGAAATTTTAGATTTCCATCAAAGAGTGTAAACGAAGGTATTCTCTGTCTAAGAAAGTGGCTGATCGTATCACAATGATCACCCACTCATGTGATCTTCTAACCTACTCCAACATACCTAGGAATTTGACCCTTGGAGAATTTGTGGAGCAGTTTGTCTCAGCTGCTAGGGACTAGAGTTAGACCCTAAGTACAACTGGTGGATGTTTTTGAGAGGCATTGGTTTGGATACTACACTAGGTCTAGACTGAGTCCAACTTGGACTTAAATTGGTGGGAATGTATTGAAACTATTGATACTATGATCAACCAAAAAAATGTAAAAGAAAAGCCTTAATTATTTTGTGGGGCATTACCTCATTGGTAGTTTGAGGAATGAAAACTAAGGGCAAATTTTTAGCTTAGATGTACTGGCATCTTGATAAAATTGTGCAGACATTATTGCCTCAAAAACTGAAAAATTCTCCAGATTTGGGTTAATATGAGGACCACATTAATCTTTACCTCACAAGAATAATAACATGGATTGGAGTCCCAAAGCATCCACCTCATGCCGTAAATGCAAGAGGTGAGGTCCACATTAGTGTTCCCCTCCCAAAACCCATGCTGGGACTAGCATTTGATGATGACCCTTTATCATTTTACTAATATTGATGTTAGGCATTTTTACTGTTCAACTGAAATATATAGGGTTTTGTGTCTTATGATTTCTTGTTTGTAAATGCCTTTATATATATATATATATATATATATACATTTTGGTTCTAGCAATTTATTTCATCTTCCTATTACATAAAAATGAGTATGGAATGAATCTTTTCATTTTCAAAATAAGCATTTTATAATAAAATTGGACGTTTTCCCTGGTAAAGACGAGCTCCCAAAACCCAAGCCATAAATGTTAGAGGTAAGGTCCACAGTAGCATTGCCCTCCCAAAATCCAAGCCTTTGGTGATGGCCTTTATCATTTACTAATTTTGTGGTTAGCTATTTATACTATTGGTGGCACCCTTAAAATTTTATCAATTCAAAGTGCTTAGTATCATGAACATACAGGGTTTAGTGCCTTGTGATTTCGTATTTGTAAAGGACTTTATATACATTTTGGTTCTAGTAGTCATTTATTTCATCTTCCTATTCCATAGAAAACTGAGCATGAAATGAGCTAGATGTTTTCATTTAAAAAATAAGCTTTTTATCATAAAATTGGAGGTTGATTTCATTGGTAACGACAAGTTCCTTTTATTTTGTTTCTTTATTCATTTTCTCCCAATGTATCTTAATTTTGTTTCTCCTGGTATCCTATGTATATTAATCCTATTCTCATGGCACAAAAAGAGCGGTGACAAGATCAATTTGCCAATTAGTGTGGGGGATAACATCATCCTTAATCATGATTTCATGGGAGGGCTGCAATTTTGGAATCTCTATGCCTGCAATGGATTTGTGGTTACAGAAGCAAATTACTTTGAGGGAGTGCAACCATATTCAGGGAAGAACTATTGTGTTACTCTGGATCGAACACATGATTGGCAAGGCTTAGAACAAGAAATCACAAACAGAGTATCACCTGGTTTTATTTATGATTTCTCTGCTTTTGTCAGAGTATGGGGTCCTGTGCAGGAAGCAGCAAAAGTCCAAGCAACTGTGAGACTGGAGTACCCAGATTTAGAAACTAAATATATAATAATTGAAAGGTATAGCAATTTCTCTCTTCTTATTTGTCTAGCTCTTATGGTTTTATTATTAACATTTTCTGCCTGTAGTGTCATTGCAACAAAAGAGAACTGGGAGAAATTGGAGGGCACATTCTCATTCATGACTATGCCCAAGTTGGCTACAATTTATTTTGAAGGGCCTGATCCTGGAATTATCCTGCTAATAGATTCTGTTGTGGTCACTTGTGTGAGTCATGAGCAGGAGGTACGTATCTTGTCTACTCTTCTCTTTCTCTACTTGATTGAATTTCATTCTTGTAATGATTTATGGAATGTGGGGGAGAGAGAGAGAAGGAAAAGAGAGGTGTGATTGAGAGAAAAAAGTTTTTCCTGGCTGTCGCCAGTCTTCTATTTATATTAACTCAATAAAGGAATAGAAATTACAAGTATGCCCCTGGCAGTACACCCTAGAACCAAAATAATAAGAAAAAACAAGTAACTAACTGAAAGTACTAAGAAGTCAGCCTATTAACAGCAGCTATAAAGTAACAATTAAATAGGCCTTACAACACTCCCCCTCAAGTTGGGATGAATATGTCTATCATGCCCAGCTTGTCGCATAACTCATTGTGCTGCGAGCATGGGAGCCCCTTTGTGAGAACATCAGCAAGTTGTTCCTTGGAGTTGCCATAAGGAATGCAGATTTCCCATTTTCCAATTTTTCCCTTATGAAGTGTTTGTCCACTTCAATGTACTTGGTCCTCTCATCTAGGACAGGGTTGCTAGCGATGTCTATTGCAGCCTTGTTATCACAGTAAAGGGATAATAGGACTATGAACAACAACCCCAAGCTCCCCTAGAAGATTCTTTAGCCAAAGGACTTCAGCCACCCCATGTGCCATAGCTCTATATTCAGCTTTAGCGCTTGACCTTGCTACCACACTTTGTTTCTTGCTTTTCCAGGTCACCAGATTTCCTCCCACAAATGTGCAATATCCACTAGTGGACTTTTTGTCATCCACAGCCCTTGTCCAATCAGCATTTGTAAAGACTTCCACCTTTAGGTGATTGTGTTTACTAAATAGTAGGCTTGTTTTGGGATATTTCTTCAAGTATCTGAGAACTCTCTTAACTATCTCTATGTGTGGTTTCTTAGGAGAATGCATGAACTGGCTTAGGACCCCAATGGAATAGGCAATGTCTGGACGGGTCATGGACGAATAAATCAGCTTTCCCACTAACCTTTGGAACTGTTTCACATCTTTCAAAGGTTCACCAACACAGTCACCTAACTTGTGGTCCGCATCCATAGGAGCATTTGTTGGCCTTGCACCTAATTTGCTTTATCCTGTAATAGATCACGGGTGTATTTCCTTTAAGAGGAAAATATACCCTTCTCTAAGTGAGCAACTTTAATCCCAAGGAAATACTTCAGGGGACTTAGATCTTTCACTTCAAATTTAGATGCAAGGAATTATTTCAAGTTCTATATCTTTGAGCTCCAACTTCCTGTAATGATGATATCATCCACATATACTATCAATACAACAACCTATTCCTGACATCACTTCACAAGGAGTGTATGATCAGACTAACATTATTTGAAACCCATCTGTTGAACTATCATGTGAAGCTCACTGAACCAAGCTCTAGGAGACTGTTTTAAGCCATAAAGAGACTTTCGCAACTTGCACACCTTATTTTCACTCCCCATGGCATAGAATCCAAGGGGTTGAACCATGTATACTTCCTCCTCTAAGTCACCATCCAAAAAAGCATTCTTTATGTTCAGTTGGTGCAATTCCCAGTCAAGATTAGCAGCTAAGGACAAGAGAACCCTAATTGAGTTCATCTTAACCGTTGGGGCAAAAGTCTCATCATAGTCAAGCCCGTATACTTGTGTGTATCCTTTGGCTACTAATCTTGCTTTGTACCTTTCAACTGTTCCATCTGCCTTGTACTTAACTGTGAACACCCATTTACACCCCACACGGTCTTTCCCCTTTGGTAGGTCCACCAATTCCCAAGTCTGATTTTTGTGAAGAGATTTAATCTCCTTCTTCATGGCATCTATCCAATCAGGGCATCTTAAGGCCTCTGCAACATTTCTGGGAACAGGGATGCAATTAACTGTAGATAGGAAGGCATGGGATGAGGGGGAAATGTGATCGTAGGAGACAAAATGGGCAATGGGGTATTTGGTAGTGTATGACCTAACTCCCTTTCGTTGGGCAATAGGAATGTCAAGGTCATCCATAGTAGGAGCAGGTTAGGGGGTGGACTTACCTCCTGGGAGTCTAATGGTGTCGATTGCTCAGTGTTTGGCTGCTCCATATCTCTACAACACCGCTGATTTCTACGACATGTATGTTGAAAGACACGAAAGGGAGTAAGGTCCGAAATAGAAAGAAGAGATACCTGAACCTACTTCTCTTCCACAAATACAACTCTCCCCCTGAGGAGAAGAAGGGAAGAATGGCTCTGACTCAAAGAAGGACACATCCATAGACACAAAAAACTTACGACTAACTAGATCAAAGCACTGATACCCTTTTTGAGAGGAGGGATACCTAGAAAGACAGAAGGAATGGACCGAGGGTCTAACTTACCTCGGATGGAGACAAATCATGGACAAAGGCACGACAACCAAAGACTCATGGGGATGGAAAATAAAGGAGACTGAGGGTACAATAACTGATGAAGGGCCATATAGTTTAGCACTTTGGAGGGCATGCGATTGAGGTCATAAGCAGCTACAAGTATAGCATCCACCCAAAACCTTTTTGGGACATTCATGTGTAACATCATCCCACGAGCTACCTCAAGGAGGTGTCTATTCTTCCTCTCTGCAACACCATTTTGTTGTGGTGTTCTAGCGCATGATCTCCTATGAATAGATCCATGGGAGGCAAAGAACTCATTGAGCTTCCTATGGAAGTATTCCTTTGCATTATCAGATTGGAAGATCTGTATTTCAACATGGAACTGTGTAAACACCATCCTCTAGAAGTCTTTCACTATCTTTGGAACATCGTCTGTACTATGCATAGGAATTACCCATGTATAGCGAGAGTAATCATCAATCAATGTGATACAGTACTTATATCCGCCCTCAGAGATTACATTTGGTAGGCCCCCATACATTAGAATACACAACATGAAAAGGAACATTTGATCTTTTATTACTTGAGTGAAAAATTGTTCTACATTGTTTGCTCAATTAACACGTTTGACACATGAACTTTGACACTGAACATGACATAAATAAAACTGGAAACAAAGACTATTATTTCAAAAGAAGCATGACCTAAACAACTATGCCAAAAAAAAAAAATTGGCTCTTATTTGACTTACTATATGACTTTGAGGATGACATCGAGAGACTAGCTTTGTTGTCGAGAATGTAGAGACCATCCACTAGGCTTCCTCTACCAATCGTCCTCCCAAAAGTTAGGTCCTGAAAAACACGAGTCAGCAAAAAATGTCACACTGCAGTTCAAAGAGCTTGAAATGCTACTAATTGAAAGCAAACTTATAGGAAGTTGAGGGACATGCAATACACAATTCAGGTTATGGACATGGAGAAGAGATATTGATCCTTGGCCTGCAATGGAAGAAAAAGAACCATATGCAAATCTCACTCTATCCCTTCCTAACAAAAGGGTATAAGACTGAAACAAGTTTGGCTTACCGGTCATGTGGTTGGAGGCCCCTGAGTCAATGATCCAAGGGAAATCCATGGGAGTGACATGGAATTCAAAAGTCGTATTACCTGAAGTAGAGGGAGTACCAGTAACTAGGTTGTCCATTTGTCGCAAAGCCCTACCATAAGATTTCAGGTGCTCTCTGAAGGAATTCATTATATCTTCCTTGGGGTCAAACTTATTAGGGTGGTCCTGGGTACTACCAACAACCTAAGTATCTTGGGTTGCCACATGTGCTGTGTTCATTTTCTTCTAACTTTGACATTTACCCTGTTCTTGATTCTTTGTTGCCCACTTGGGTTTCTCGTGGATGTCCCAACAAGTGTCACGTGTATGTCATGAACGCCGAAAGTGGGTGCAAAACAACTTTATCTTTGTCCTCAATTTTCTTAGTGTCACTTTTCTTTCTCGTGGAGTTATTATTCATTGCAGCCAAAGCAACTTGTTGTTCCCCCTTAGTTGTAACCATTACATTGAACAAGGGAGTATACTTTGTGAACCGTAGGCAACTCTTTGCTTCCTAGGATCTGTACCCTCAACGGTTCACATGTAGGGTTCAGTCATAACAAGAAAGCAATCACCTATTGCTGAGAGACCAGCTTCCTGTAAGCCTTAGCATTATCGTCGTGCTTCCACTCTGGCTTGATAATAGTCTAATTCCTTCCATATGGAGGTAAGAGTTGAATAGTATGAAGACAAGCTACGGTTTCCCTGTTTAGATGTTGAGGATTCAGCTTGCAACTAGTAAACTTTGGCGTAATGCCTTTGCCCAGATCTCACTAGTGATGTCTGCCCACATAAAATTCTTCACATCAGGTTCGATGGCTACGAGGAGCCAAGACATCACCATACTATTTTCTTGGTTCCACCTATCATGTTCAGTCGTCTTCCCTTGGGTTCTTTCACCCTTCCATTAATGTAACCGGCTTTACCCCTTGCCGTTACATAGAGTTTTACGCTCTTAGCCCACTTTAGGTAGTTCAAACGGTTTAAAGGGGGTAATTGGCATGGGAAAACCCATGTTTGCACCTCCCATACCCGTTGTGTTGTGGGCTGGTGTAGCCCCCGATGAAGTTGATTCATAATTTGCCGTTGGATACTACTGAAAAACAATCCAAACACCACCCAACTACACAGCAGCCACAACCAGAATACCAACCCTCAAGGAATTTACTTCTAGGATGTGAGCAAGAGAACAAAAAACACTGCTGAGAACAACTCTGAGAAGGTTCAGTCACACACAACCAGTCATTAAACCAGCCTGGTAATCAGTTCAGCACCACCAAGACAGACATTACTATCAGTCTGACTGTAGTTCATATAGTCTAACCATCCAACATCCAAACAAATACCTATATAACCAAGGAATGTGCCCTAAACACCATCGGCCAAAGAAGACTGAAACAAAAAAAAAACACACCTATTCAACACTTGTACAAAGGTGCTAACATGAACCCGACTTCACAGCATCGAATAGAGGGAGTCTGTACCAACATCACCCTTCTCTGACTAGGGTTTTCTTGGTACTACGACCAAGGAAAAAGCCACGGAAATTGCCACC